CAGCTTTTTCAGCTGAAGCTTCTAAGGTTCTGTCTGATTAATTCCTTTTGATATTCATGGCAGTGAACTTTTACCTCTCTGGCCAAAACACCAGCACTGGTTCCCTCCACACCTGCCTACAAGTCCCCAGGAACCTTTATCTCATGCTGAGCTTTCACGAGACACCAGAGAATCGCTTGACTGAGATCATGAAAGAGTTCAACGTACAGAACTTCATAGGCATTTTATCAATGGACCCAGCAGAGAGCTAAGAAACCTCTTCAAGAGCTTCATCTCTCTTCCTTAATCTTTGCTACTCGACAAATCATTTTCTGGTGGCCACAGAACTTCTGCCAGGCAGTGCTACCCACCAGCTACTCGGCTGTGCCACTGATCAAGCACAGACTGCAGCGCAAGCCCTGTCCCGGCAATTCCGTCTCTCTCTGATGATGACAAAAAGTGAATTCACAGAGCACAGAGAGCACATACCCTCTTTTCTTTATTCATCTACCTCTGATAAACGTTCAGGCTGCTCTTGAGATCTGTGGGTAGATTATGTCCCACACTTCTTTGTTCTGTGAACATGCCTTCCAAGTGTCAGCACCACACACTTAAACCAGGACTCTGCTAAACCCTCTGTTGAATGAAAACCTCAGAATCGAAACACTAATTTCAGAAATTTTGTAGAACTCCCTGTTAAAAAAATCCTTCAAGTTCTTCTCTGAGCAAAAGAGGAATTCTAGTAGGAATATATATCTGTGTACATGAGAAACAGGCAGCCATTCACAGCCATTCTTTTATATTTTGAAAAGAAATGTAAACATAATTCAATTTTCATCTCTCTGAAGGTAACACTTCCCAGATTTGTTTCTAGCTCTAGCTTTTTAAAGACATATATTGAAAGGAACTGTTAAACCCCAAATTTCAAAAGGGTTCTCCATACTTATTCCTTTATTTGCTATGTAATTACAGCAGTTCTTTCTCTGTTCTTGAGGACAATTATAATGTCCCAGGCTACTACACTTACGACTAAGATATCACAAGAAATTTCTCATGAGAAGAGAAAAAAATGGGCTTAGTAAAGAGTTCAAGTATGCTCAGTTTAGGAATGTATTTTCAAATTAAAAAAAACTATTATTGAGTTAGAGAAGGGAAGTATATTCAATGGAAAAATGAACACATCACTAACTGTCTTAAAACCAGCATCATCTGAAAAAAGCAAATTGATAACTATGCTGTCCTTATGGGACCATAATAACACTGCTGTCAAACAGGTTACTAACAATGTGTGTCCTGGTCCAAAAGGCAGATTATTGCTTTTGGTAGTGGCCCTTTCCAAAGTATCAAAGGGTGGACTGACACTTAAAAACCTAAGATACAATTTCATTCTTTCATGTGTTCATGCACAAACTGCTCCTCTCGCAGTCAAGTCAGCATACAGCAATGTGACAGCCTTGAGACAAGGACAGCAGTGTTTCAATGATGATGCCACAGGCTATTCTGTAAGACAGACCTCCTTGACTTTCTTCTTGAAGTGGAATCTTAGTATAGGAAATAAAAATTAAAATGCTATTTAGAAAAGAGTGAGTATGACACTGTCTTTTCTGCATTGGATTGATAATGAGCTGTGAGATCAGAGGGCTGTGTTAAAACCCTTGAACCCTGAGCAGAACAGGTTTTGCACCAAGCAAGCACACCCTCTTGCAACTCAGCATTATCCCATCAGGCTAACCCTAAAAGCACCTTTCTCAGCCTAGGTTGCTGTTACCTCCCAAGGTGGACTATTCTAAGTGATTTAAATCTATGGGGAAACACAGATGTCATTCAGTGAGTTGTTATTCTTAAAACACCCAAGAAGTTTAGGATTCTTTAATTTCTTGAGTATACTATTGTCTTCTGCCAAAAACAATCAATCTTAACTGTGCACTCTACAGAACACATGGTCTTCCAATTTAAAACTTACTAGATTTATAGGGTGTAGGAGCCCTCTTCTTTTTTTCATTCATTTGCCATCTACTGTTTTGCATACCTGCCCATGTGTTATCTTATTCACCATAACTTGCAGCCAAATGGATCTACTTCCATTATATTTTCAGATATGGTCATATTTTCAACCATTTGTGTCTGAGCTCCTATTCCTATTATTTTCTGAGGCAGGTGTACCACTAAAGATGTTTTTCCAAGAAAGTACACCTCTTCTATTTACATTGCAATGCGATTATGGACTTCTGCTATTATGCCATCCTTTTATAGACTCATCAATATTTTTATTTTTTACTGTCACTTATGATTAAAAGGCCTTTCACTCACATATCCTTTTCAGCTACCTTCAAGATCTGTTGCAGCTACCTTAAAACACAGTCACATGAATCAACAGCTTATAATTCCTTCCAACACACTCACTGCACTGTTCTTCATTTACTACCATATAATAAATTCACTTTTCCCTGTCACTTTGGATCCTTTTGTTCCTCAGAATTTACCTCCTTCCTGACTACATCTATTAACAAGTGACAGTGGCAGATTTTGCTTATTTACCAATAATGCCTCTTACAGGTCACTTTCAGACCTGATGAGTCTTATCAAAGTAGATTAAGGAAAATCTTAAAAGAAGAAAAAAAAATGAACTTCTATTTTCAGTTTTTGCTACTTAAGTATCTTAATCAGCACTTGATTTATGACAGGATAATTTCTCAGTAACTTTCCACAAGGGACATTTCAAAACTCACGCACTTCAGTAGTCTGGATAACTGTATTAATGAGAACAATTGTATTAATCAGTTCTAATTTCCTTGTCATCATCTTCAAAGAATCTTTTAAGACACGTATAAGATCTCCTGCTATGGAGTTACTAGTACTGGCATCCTTAATTTTACATTCTATTCTACAACATATTTTATAGTGTTCTTTTAAATTAGTATTCCAATCAATATCACTGTAACCAGCTTATCCAATATTTAAAAAATTACACTAATGCCCTCTATTTGCTGTTTTCTCCACAAAAACAGCATATTATTTCAGGATTACAGAATCATGCCTTGTGGAAGGAACCCACAAGGTCACCCCCTGCAACCTCCTGTTCAATGCAAAGTCAACACCGAATTCAGTCCAGCTTGCTCAGGACTTTTCTACCTGGATCCTGAAAATCTCCAAAGACAGGAATGCACAAATCTTTCTGGGCAACCTGTCCCATTGCCTCACCGTCCTCATTTCCTTGCTTTGAACTGGAGGTTTTAAGTTGTGCTGTCTCTCGTTCTCCCATTGTGCATGGGAGTACAAAGACTGGTTCTATCTTTCCAACAATATCTTCAGGAAAATTAAAGCTCCCACTATATGCCACTAAGCCATCAGCAGATGGTATCCAACACTCCCTCCACCTCCAGATCTAGCTATTTAGTCACAGAGGACAAGCAAATTGATCAGGCATTATTTATGCTTGGTAGATCTGGCTATGCCCAGTTTTTACCTTCTTATGCCACAAATGGCTTCCTCCGCAATACCTCCTCAGCACGAAGGAATGAGGCTGATCAGTCTGGAGTTCTCTTGCTTGTCCTTCTTGCCCTTTATGAAGATAAGATTTGCCTTTCTCCAGTCTTTGGGATCTCCCTCAGTTTCATGGCCTTTAAAAGACGATAGAAAGCAGCTTTGTGAAGACACTGTCAGTTGCTGGCACCCTTGAACGCAGTCTACCCCGGCCCATGGACTTATCAGGGAAACAATCCTGCTTCAATCCTCTTCCACAACTTGTAGTTCCTCCTCTCCTTAAGCTCTGCCTTGTGGTAAAAGGCCTTGGGACACATTACAGGTCAAGTCTGTGGCAAAGAAGACATCAACTATTTGACCCTTATCTGTTTCTGCTGTCACTAACACACTTGTTCCACACAGCAGCAGCGACGTACTTTCCTTGTGAATCCTTTTCCTGATAAATGGCATGATCCTTGTGAGTGCCTTTCAATTCAGGATATTTTGTGATCACTGTACCTGCACCACTGAGATTTGTTAAGCCCTGCTACCACTGAGCTTCAACATCCTGCAGAAAATGGACCTGAAGGTGTTTCAACACATCACTACTCATTGGCTTAAGCCACTGGTTAATTCAGTACACCCCCACTACTGTTTTCACCTTTGCAATACTCAACGTCCACACTGAAACTTATCAAGTGTACAAATTCCTAGATATCATCCTCCTGGTAATTTCTCAGGGAGAGAAGCAAACTTTAGTTAAATTTCTGAAACAGCTACGCCAAAGCCACGACGTGACCCTCGGCAACCTACTCGCTGCAAATTTCTCCCTGGGATTTCCTTTTACCAACGAAGGAAAGGCCTCTCACCTGAAAGCAACACTTTAGAATGCTCAAAAGAATAAAATACCACCCTGCTACAACTATTATTCCCCCGCATGGACGTGTGCCCAGGAGGGGCCGTCCCTTGGCACCGCCGTGTCCCACAGGGACAGCGTGGCCGCCGTTCCCTCCGGGCCCCCGGGACACCCAGAGCTCACCCGGCCCGAGGGGAAGAGCAGCCAGGTGTGCCTGAGGGCTCCCTCTTCCTCCCTCCTGCCAAACACCCAATTTCTCCCACCCGAACTTATCCTTACTGTCCTCTCGCAGCCCCTTTTTTCTTGTCCCTAACGCCTCCTCCCGCTCCCAAATCCCCTTTGCCTCCTCCCAACCCCCTCTTCCCCTCCCAACCCCAAAATTCCCTCTTCCTGTGGCCAAACCCCCTCTTCCCTCTCCCAGCTCCCCTCTTCCTTCATTCTCCCATTCGCTCTCTGCCTCCTCCCAGTCCCCCTCTTCCTTCCCCCAAATTTCCTCTTCCCGATCCTCTCTTCCTCCTCTCAAGTCCCCTCTTCCCGCCCGCTGGTGTCTCACCGGAGACGAGAACGAGGAGGAGGAGGAGGAGGAGGAAGGCGCCCCGGCAGGTCCGCCGCCACCGCAGTCCCCGCGCAGCGCGGGCGGCGGGCGGCAGTTCCGGGCAGTGCGTGCGGGCCGGGGCGGCGCAGGAAGGGGCGGAGCCGGGGCGGAAGCGGCCGGGCCGGGGTAAGGAGAAGGAGTGGGAGAGAGGGCAGGATCTGGGGAAGGTGGTGATGGCAAAGTCCCAGGGATGGTTTGGCAGCTCTGCCTGGGCACTAAGAGCAGCTAGGAGCAGAGCCTTTAGCGAGCGGGGCTGCGAGGGAGCCCTGGTTCGGTGCTGTCGCTCTCAGCCGAGCTCAGGCGTGTGGTGCTATCCCCCGGAGTACCGGCTCCATCCCCCGGAGTACCGGCTCCATCCCCCGGGTCCCGTCCGCGTCTGGCTCTCCAGAGCCGTCCCCAACTTCCACTTCATTCCTAGAACTGCCTGAAGCTCGGGTCCGAAGCTCTTCTGTGCATCCCCCTTCTATGCAGGGTGACGCATCCAGTAAATGAATCGTCTTGGATAGAAATATAACTCTACGCTCTCAAGTTATGTACCTTAAAGCACAAATAATGCTTTGCACTAAGTTAAATATTTGCCGCGTTTTGAAGTGGCGTTGTGTTAAACATTTCTCGAATTCTAACGCGCCTGCTTAACAAAAGTTTCGTTTTACTGGATAGTAATCAATAGGATCTTTTCCAGGGACTAAAAGGAAGAGGATGTTTATGTAGTTATTTATTTGTCTGTAATTTTTATGGGCAACGCTTGTTTTTAAAGCAGTGTTTTTCTTTATTACGTTGTTAACAGGGCAGCTGAGTGAAACTTAGTTAACTATTGTTTAGTGCATGTTGAAAGGGAAAAGAAAATGGTAAAAAACAGCACTGCTAGTGAAAGTTGCACTTACATAATATTTATAATTTTTAAGTAGGTGTCTTTTATACCAAAGGTAGGCAACATTATTTATGTTTACCAAAGGTAGGCAACATTATTTATGTTTGTCTTTTAAGTTTTGGTGTAAATTCTGTATTGATCGTTGCTTTTCACTTTCCCTCTTTCAAACAGTGGCTACTGTAAATATGGCTAATAGAATAAAAATCTATCTCTTCTCATAGAATTTATGGTCTAATTAGAGAAAAAAGTGCTGAGAAAAATACTGTGAGTGAGTAGTGCAATGTCTTATTAGATTTGGTTAGTTCTGTATTGCACATTTTATTTTATTGTGTATGTCTGCATCTGCTTTTGCTTTTTACCAAAATATTTAGCCATTTTGCATAGCATGAAAATGACCAAAATACCTCATTGAGTCCAGGAACATCAACTAGAAGAAAAAATTGAGTGAGGAAGGAATGTGTATGACTGAGTGGTTTGCATGCCCAGCAAAAGATGGACTTGTGAGCTCTTTGAGTTCACATGGAGAACAAAAATATTAACCCAAATGCATATAAGAGTACTATTTAGTATTGAATGAGATGCTGTAGTCAAGAATAGGAGTTTAAATGCTGCAAGCTATGGCTGTGACTCTGGTAGCAGTAACTCTTCTTGATTTACCTCTCTGGCAGTGCCTTCAGTGGATGATTTCTACCACAGAGGTGTACTTAGGAGATAGAGTCTGTCTCAACTTCCATGGTGTCAAGATTCACCCAAATAAAATATCTTGTGGTAAAGTAGGTATGGCATTGTGTACTGGCCTGTTCTTTGTGTGGCAGTGTATTAATTAAAGAAAAGCAACAGTCCTCCTAGCAGAGCCACTGTTCTTGTAATTTAATCGTTTAAAGAAGTGTCACTGTAACAAACATTAGTATTCTTAATGTCAGGTGGACTTGATTTTATTCTTCAACTCCCTTTTTGGGCAATCTGTTTTGGTCCTGTGGTAGGTAATACAAAGTAGTAAGTGTGATGTACACATCTACATGGAAAAACATAAATTGAATAATCAAGGTGTTTCAAATTAAAATTTTATTTTAAAATACTTGCATTTGTAAAAATGCAAGCAATTGTAATTGTGCAAAGACTTTATTAATCTGGACAGTAATGTGAAAGAGTGATGCTGTTCCAGTGGCACTCGTGCTTTATGTATATGTATATAATACCCTATTCTGGCCTCTCAGCAGCATTTAAATTTCTCTTCCTCGCTGCTCGAGCTGTGCTCTGTGTCACTTGTGCTAAGAGGGCCATCTAGTGTCTGTGGCTTTTCAGTGCCACCTGTCATCTCTCAGGTAATGGGCAATTCTGCTGAGTGATGGAGCAGAAAAATTACTGCTTCAGTGCCTTATGTTAAACTCCTATGGAATACTTAGTAGGAAAAATGTAGCTTTCACCCCACTTTAAGGAAAATTAAATTGAGTTTTTAATATACTGAGAAGATACTTCAGCTCTGCTACTGATGAATTGGACTGCTTTAAAGTAGTTGTGTGTTTGAGGTGTTCATGTAGCATCATGGGATGAATGTTTATTTGCTTATGAGTCCTTCAGTCATTATCTCACCCAACTCTAGATTAATTTTTAATACAGAAACCAACATTATTTCCCATGGCCTAAACACCTGCTATAAATGCCTTTAAGCAGTTACAAAAAGACAGATGGTTGTATTGGGGAACTGACTGTTGTAGATACGTGCTCAGGAACTTTTTTTTAATAATGCGTTGTTAATATTGTGGGAGGTTTTAATGTGAAAAAAAAGGGAAGCCTTGGTCTAAAATGTTTGTGCACTTAAAAATTGAAAATTAAGCATTTTCTTTAGGTTTTGTTTGATGTCAGAAATATGCTCAAATGTAAAAAAATATTTACAGAGGTAGTTTTCCTATCCATGATCTTGTGTGTGAAGAGACAGTGTAGATGTGAAATCATTCTTTTCTCTCTTTTTGGTCTTTAGTAGTGTCTTATGTTAAAATCAGTTGCAGCAGATAGTGGAAGAACCAGTGATTTAAATGTTTTTTAATTTTTTTTTTATTCTATATTCTTTTATGGATGTCATACTCTGATTTCTATTTCAGGAACTTCATCTCAGGAAGAAGATGAAAGATAATGTCGCTGAAGAACATTTATATTTGGCTTTTTCTCATCAGTACAGAGATAGTATCTTCCCTCTTCATACATCTATCTCACTGTTTTTGCTGTCCTACTGTGACTGCAAACTATTTAAAGTTTTCTTAGTGCCGACTGGCGAAGATGTGGGTGATCAGTGTGTGACAAAAAACCTCGCTGGTGACCTTGAGATCCACTTAATCCCCAGGTGTCAGCTTCCAGTGGTTGTGCAGAGCTGCAGTTTGCCTGCTGTTGTTGTGAAAGATGACAAATTCTGCCGAGCTGGGCTTTCTGTGGTCTTAAGACATATAATACAGAAAACATTTGAGGCAGATCCATCTAGAAAGGAGGTTTTGGAACTCTTGGGCTTTAAGAAGACCTGCTTAAAAGCCTGTGCTGAAGTGAGTGTGTCTCTCTCTTAGGTACATTGATTGGTTTTTTAATAAGCATTAAATGCTCTGAAGTAGACTCTTAATATTGATGTCAAGTAAAATATTTTTATTTTATTTAGTAATGTATTAATTTGCTTCAAAAATGCAATTTTTTCTTTGTACCTGTATTTTGGCACAAAGATGAAAAATAATTATTTTGAAGATACTACTTTTTAGCAGCACAAAAAGAAACTTACTGTTAAAAAGTAGGTCAGATCTTTGTTTCATGTCTAGCAGTATAAATGAGTTATAAAATTTGAAGTAAACTAAGAAACACCTAATTTCTTGCTGATTTTGTTTTCAAGAGCACGATATATTGTTTCCCTTCACTGTCAAGGTGGCTTTTGTTTAGCTTATCCTCACCAGGTTGTCCAGTGTCTTTTCAGCAGAGTGGCTACCTGGCCAGGTGGTCAGTCCCTAGCCTGTACCATTCCAGGGGATAAATCCCTCCTAGGTGTGGAATATCCTGAGTTTCACATCTGTTCCTCTCAGCTCATTCTCTAGTCTGTGCAGCCTCATGTGAATAGCAGCTCTACCTTGGAGTTTGTTGGGAATTTGTTGTCTGCTCTTCTCAATTCCCTGTCATCCTTGATGGCAGTGTATTCCATCTCCCCCCTCCAGGTAAAGATGATGAAATGGGATAGGCCTCAGCATAGACCCTTAAAGATTTCCACTCCCGACTGGCCTTCAGGTAGAGTGTGAGCTGTTAACCAGCACTGCCCTTTGAGTTGAGATGTCAGTCCATTTATCACACAGCAGTTTGCTCATCTGGCAGCTCATCCATCTAGCCTTGCCTTCCTCACGCCTCTCAGAGGCAGAACTCCACCCTGGCATGATTGCTGTTTCCATGGTTGCCATTGATCACCATGCCACAGCTTTGTTTCTTATGAGTGACACAGCCACCCTAATTTTATGTCAATAATAAGGAAATAAAAATATGCTGTACTGGATAACCATTCTGTTATATATAAGATTTAGCTTCCTAACTCTGCTGTTGTAATACAGAAATATCTGAGTTTCTAAGATTAACAAAGAATGTATTTACAGCTGGAATTCCTTTGCTTGAAGTGATTAAGTAACCAAAGTAACCTTAAATTTTGTTTCTCTTTCTGTAGAGACATTAATTATGTAAATGTATTTGACAGGTTAGCCAGTGGACCAGGCTCTGTGAGATCAGCATACCTCTGGCTGTGGAAAGATTTTTGACAGCCTCTCCTGAGCACTGCCAGGCTATTCCTCCTGACATTTTACTGCTGGAAAGGAAGCTTGGAGAACCTGTCCGAGTACATAATGATGACAAAATTCGAAGGCAGAAACTTCAACAACAGAAGGCAGGTGCCAAGGCTGCAGTGCCTGTGCTTGGTGAAGAATCAACAGAGGAATTAAAACCAGAAGTCCATGAGCAACCACCCTCAAGTTTGGAACTGAGTGTAGCTTTCTCCAAGCTACTTGCCCAGGAAGCACCAGATGCAATCAACAGGGAGGCCCCTCACATCAGGAGGACAAAAACCTCTGACCTTCCTCTCCTAGACCATGTTTTTGCAGAAGGGCTTTATTTTACTGTGGCAGATCTAGTGCTTTTGCCATGCATCCACCAGTTCTTGGTAAGCTGACAAATTCTGCAAATATCAATTAGTCTACATGTATGTTTTTTAAGAACCTAAAAGTTGTAAAATATGTCAATTTGAACATACTGTGGTGTTTCCAAAGTGACCTTAACCCAAAATCAAAGATTTGTCTTGTTTTTGTACAAACACAAAAGCCAGGAATTGGTGAGGTCACTTAAGTTACTTCTAGATACAGAGCATACCAATGGTTAGTGAACTCTGTTAGCTAACAGAATTAAAATATTATTTTGGCACCAATAATTTAAAAATACTAGTACAGGTGACTTGAGCTCAACTTAAAAACTACTTCTACAGTGGGAAAAAGCTTCTGTGGCAAGACTGCAAGAGTCTTGCTCAGCACAATCTGTGTATTTAGTTTTATAGGGATAGATGCATAGGAGAGATTTAAGGAAATTACAACTATGTCTTTATTTCCCATCACAGTAAAATGATAGAATGAGTTTGCCTCCTACAGTTCTATTCCTGCAATTACTCTATGAGATTTACAGCTAAGCTGCTGTCTATTCCAGGAGCAATTGCATTTTGATTTTGCAAGTTGGTTTGCCAAATTTCCCTTATGGTGTTTGGAAACAAATGGGATTCCTGGGGAAGATGCTGTTAGTCAGATTGAGGATAACAGTCTCGGAAATAAAGATAATGACTATCAAATATCAATAATGTGACAAATGTCCACTTTGTAACTTCTGTAACCATTATCATCATCCTCAGTGGATTTCTGTATGATAATAGCAATATGCTGCCTTTGAATTGAGAGGATGACTTATTTTACAGAAATTCCTCCTAATTCACATCTGCTTTGTTTTGCAAATCACATAATTGGAGGTGAGCAGCAACTTCTGTATGGATGACACTAAACAAAAGTATTAAGACAAAATGCTTTCCTACTATTTAAAAAACTATAATGTATTTCAGCTTTTGTTTTTCCAAGACCTTTTAAAATAAGAGCATAACTTTTTAGAGTAATATTTGATTTACTGGTGCTAGGCATGAGAAGATTTTTGCATCAGGTGCTTAATTGATTTCAGCAACGTAGTTGGGATCATTCTGTGGATGTTCTGTGAGCAGCCAAGAATTTTGTATTTATTGACTTTTTTTATGTTGCCCTTGAGCCCTTAGTGTTCTGCAGCTCATGAACTAGGTATTTTACAATACCCTTGTGTTAGCTGACACCAAGGATTGCCCTGAAAACCTGGCTTTCAGTTGAGTTTTTACCTAATTTACAAGAGCTCTGGGATAATGTTTGTTTATTTCTGTTCTCTGGTAAATGATCATTTTCTAAGCAATTATACCTTGGTGCCTGCAGTTGTCATCAAAATTGAAAAATGTGCATCTGAAAGCTTCTTGCAGGCCATGAGTTGAAACTGTTCTTGTTGATGGAAGTCCCAGAGTTCAATTCTGTATTCAAGTGTTATTTGTCACTTATATAGCTGGACTTCCTGGATTGTGTTTAAAAAAATCACTGTAGTTGCAGTTCCACTTTGAATTAAGGGTGTGAATACTAATGAAGTCTTAAGTGAGTATGTGTCTCGAAAATATCATCCTATAAATATGAGGAGACCTGACTAGCTGATTGTAATTATAATTACCAAAAGTGGGATAATGAAGCTGAAGGGTTGTTTTTCATTACCTCATTTCAATGCTGTTATCATTCTGAGGTTACCTTTGTTATGCCTTCTATTAGTTGTAACTGTTGAAAATTAATAGAAGTATAACAAAAGCTCAGATCCTTATTTGGGAAAAACACTATTCACTTTTTAAAATACAATTTAGAACACTTGATAACAAGTGTAACAGTGCCTCTTAGAATTGCTTTCCGAAAGACTTTGTCCGTAACTGAATTAATGTGGTTTTGCCCGTGTTACTATTGGGTTATTAAATTAGATACTAAAGTTGCACAGTTCATCCTTTTGTTCCTTTAGCTATTGCTAATTACTTGTGGTTACCCTAAGCATATTATAGCTTGCAGGAGGGCTGGAATTTAGTGTAATTTCAAGTTTTCTTTACCAATTTCTATTTCCATTCTTTGGACAGCTGTGGGGAAGAATGTTGGTTTTGCATGGCCTTTCCTGCCTGTTCCTGTAATTGTGTTTTTTAATTTTCTGTTTAAAGCAGGTACAGCACCACAGAATAGTTGAAGTTGGAATAATTGAGGTTGGAAGTCACATCTGGAGCTCATCTTGTCTAAGTACCCTGCTCAGAGCAGGGTCAGCTAGAGCCAGTTGCTCAGGATCATGTCCAGTTATATTTTGAGTGTCTCTAAGGAGACTTCACAACCTCTCCTGTAAGAGGATGATCTCCATTGTTCTAGAACATTTGGGAATCTAAACAAAAGTTATTTAATGTCATCAAATGCATCCTTTTTAAAAGTAGCTGGACTTCATCTTAAAAAGTGATTTGAGTATATTTTTTTTAAATATGTGCAACATATTCTTACTTAGGAAATGTTCTTATTTCATTTTTACACTAAAAATGCTAGTTTCTATTGGAGGCCACATTACTGCTTTGGAGTTTTTTGTCTAACAAGCAACAAAAACTAATTGTTCCTATGTGGGGAAATAGCCCATATTTAGAGTATTATTTATATGGATTTTTCCTGTTACTGACTGAAATTATGATTAAAGTTGGTCAGGTAAACCTTTTCATCCTATTAAGCAAATGGGAACTGCAGGTAAAGTCTAAATGGCCAGCTGGCAGTTCCACCTGGAGCTCTGAACCAGCTGATTTTTGTATTGTCATCATGCTGTGAGTGCTTGTGCTCAGCATGGAGCTGAGTTTACTCCTGTAGTTTGTGCCTTTTGGTGGCTTGTAGTAAGAAATTTGCAGTAGCCACTAACTTTCTCATTTTATTATTTTAGGTTTCCAGCAAGAAACAAGGCAAAAATCTGGTAAACTTGCCACTGATATCCAGCTGGTATCGAAGGGTTCAAGAAGTACCTGGGGTAAAGAAAGCTGCTGGCAAATGCAACATGGAGCTTCTCCAGCTTCCAGAGTTGGTGTCTGCTCCTGAGGAGCAGCTACAGGACTCTGCTCCAGTTCCAGATGAGCTAGAAGAGGGTCATGAAGACAGTCACTTTATAGGTGGTCCAAGGCCAACCATGACTAAGTTAATGGTAATTTAAGCTTTTTAATGAGTTATTTTTATAGCCACATTTGCTTAATTTGGAGTAGGTAGAATTTATTAGAATTGTATGAGATAATTTTGATAGCCTTGAGCAGTTTAATGCCCTTTGTTTGTCTGAAATCTGAAATGCATTGACTTAGAAGTGATTCTACTTTTTTTCTTCTCTTCTGATATTTGATTCATTCAGGAATTGGGCAAAGATAGGACTGCTGGAGCCCTATCAATAATTCTGAATAATCAAAGTAACTTTTTTGTTTGAATTGCAATTTTGTATTTTTCTTTCAAAGATATTTACATAAAGAATGACAAAAACTCTTGCTTTTATGTTTGAGTTCATTATCCAACCTTTTCAATTGGGTTGGGTTTTTTTTAACATCTGGGAACCCTAATGAGTTTTGTTAAAGAAAGCTGTCCATCATATTCCATAATTCAATATTTTTTACATTGAAGCTGACAGCATTTCCTAAAAAAACTTAGGAGAGTTTTTTTGTGAGAATGAGGGAAGTGCATAATTTGAATGTTGTATAATGTAGAGTCATCTGCCTGTTGAGTTTCACTTAAACTGACAGTGTTGCAGTTTGATCTGGTGCCATTAAATTTAGTGGGAATTTTGATACCGTCTTAAGTGGGTAAAGGGTCTTAACTTATGTTTTTCCTTCTTTCATGCAGGAAAATGGAATTGAAGCAAAGTTTTCTCCTCATCCATGCCCCAGCTGGACCCTAGACTGGACCAGTCTTCCATCTGCAGTCAGTCCTGGGGAAGGTGAGAGTTTGTGTCTGTGTGTGTATTTAACAGGGTCTTCTTCTGGTGAAGCTATTTTACTGTTTCATAAGAAAATATGCCCGTTTTCAGTATGTTTCAGAGCTAAGACAGGTAAGCAATTTCAAATCTGTATTAAAATGCAGTCTGTTTGTGACACATGGTGATATAGCCTCCTTCAGGTCATCAGCAGCTGAGGAGCAAACTGGGAGCAAAACATTGGCCTTGATTTCAGTCAGCAGTTGACACAACCCAAAATTCCCTACCAAGCTCAGTGCTTGGTTGTGTTTAGTTTTCCATGGAAGTAAAGGCATCCGTAGATACCTTCCATAGGAGTAGAGTTACTGTGGTTTTTTAGTATGTACAGATGGTAAAAAGAGGTTGACAGATCAGAAGAAAAGTGTATATAAAAGTGTAGGTGGTCACAGTGTGAGACAGAGGAAAATCAGATACATAGTGTGATTATTTCCCTGCACTGATGTATGTCATCAAATGAAATGTTTTAATTTTTTCCCTAGCAAGGCAGAAGCTGAAAATTTTGGGAAGAGGGGCTCGTTGAAATAAGACTGTTGAATGGATATACTGTGCAGCTGCTAAGGTTTGGAAAAGAGGAGATTATATTTAATTTGTGACCAACAAAGAAATGCAGCATCTTTTCTGTGGTTCTATTAGGCAGCATTTGAAAGGGGTTTTATTCCTTTTTGGAACTTCAGTCAGTCATGGAGTTTTTGCTTGTGTTCCTGGTCCTGTGTGTGTCAATGGATTCATTGTCTTCAGGTTCATTTCCTACTTGCTGCAAAGGCTTTGTGAGTATTAAGATCAGTTTGGCTGGATATGATTAGAGGTCCTTCCTTTAGGCTAATCCAAAGCACATTAAAGGGAAGGTGAAAGTGTGTGGATGTGGGGTTGGATGGTGATAACCCTTTTTGCTGCTGCTTTATTACTCTGAGGATATATGGAGATTAAAGCTTTTGGTACTGTTTGCTTTTTTCATCAAACATTGGGTTCACCTGTTAAACAAAAAAAGACATTTTTTAAAAGAGGATTTTTTTTTTCTTTAAAACAGCTTTTTATTAATTAACTTTTCTTATCCAACTGTGCAATTCAAGAATGAGAGGTAACTGACCTACAGTCTTACAAAGCCTTCTGACTTTTCTCATGAGTTGAAATACTTGTTAAGCAGGAAGTCAAAGAACTGAAAAGAAGTGCTTTATTTGTGGTATTTCATTTGAAATGAACCATCATTGCAGTAACAGTATGCATGAGATGGTATTTACTTACAGAGTAAAACAATGTTTACATTTGTAGTTTAGAAACATCTTTGAAATTTAAGTACCTTTGAATAACACAGGCTAGGACGGTAACACAGAGCATGGTGTTCCAGTTCTGTGGAATTAACTGATGCTTTGATTAAACAGTCTCTCAAACAACAATCCTGAAGGATCAGTATTAGCTTCAGCTTCCAGCACTGTTATTAAGTAAAGGATACTTTATTGTAGTGTGGCCTCTCAACAGAGAAAAGAAAATTTTGAAAATTTTCTAACCCTCATCATAAGCAAAATTAATTTTAATGAAAGGAACAGCACTTAATGATGTAATTGTCTTCTAACCAATATAAAAGTCTGTGACTTAGTGTCCATGTTAAAAGTTGTTTGTAATTGCTCATAGAACTGAATAATATAATAATTGTGGAATAAATGGTGTATTAGATGCAGAGCTATTTGATTTGAAATGGTCAAAATTGATTCAGTATATCCAGGTTGTTTCTGGGATTTTTTTGTGAGGCTAGGTCACTCTTATTTTTGTTCTGCTTTTTGTATTGGTATTACCTTTTGAATATTTTGACTTGAAAGATGCTTTCTGAGTTGAGAATACATTATGCTTAAAAATCAAAGATGGTTTAGGGAATCTGATGTTTTATGAAAACTTCGCTAATCAAGATATGCAAATTGTGTATTTTATTTTGAAAGTTAAAAGCAACTGTATTTTTAAAATTAAATCCAGACAGTCATTTATTCTGTAAAACAAAAAGAGTTTAAAGAGACACTTTAAAGTTCTCTGTTTCCCTTTCAAGCCTGTCAGAACTCTTTGAAAGACTTTGAAGATTTTTTTAATAGTGTTTTAGCCTCTTCCAGTGACTCAGGCATCCTGAAGCAGGAACTCATCCTTCTTTTTCAGCTGATCTTTCCATATCAGAGAGCTCTTTGCCTGCAAGCCACATGGGTGTAGCAATCCAAGGGAAGTTCAACTGAAGCTGCTTCTCATTAACTTCTCCTTAAGTTACAGTTTTGCTGCATTCATTTAAATAAGTTTAAACCACATTTGTGTGTGCATTATATTTTGCAGTTCAAGATTTGAAAAACCTATCATGGTAATACAGCCAGGTTGCTTCACATTCTTGATATATACTTGAGAAGTAAATAATTTTCAGTAACAAAGAGAAAGCAAAAATACTCATTTTTATAATATAGGTAATACTGGTATATCTTCTTTTACTGGCTTGCCTTAAAAAGAGTATTCTTGCAAAACTTTGTATTTCATATTTGACTTCTTAGGATCTTTTCTTTTGAATGTTCAGAGATAAATAACATTGTGTAGTTGGCCTGTGGACAATTTTCATGGAAGTTTGTATGCAATTACTAATTTTTAGACAAAAAGTTCTTCAGGTTTAACTGGAAATAATAACTTAGGCACATCACCAAACCAGATAACTCATGGTTGACAATGTACACTGTTTCTACTGTTACTGTACTCCTTCTCCCTTTTTCTTTTGTTATTGTCTTGGGCTACCAAGCAAAACAAGGGAAGGGAATTAATTACTTTATATTTTTATAATGCCTATTTGGAGACAGGAGGCAAAGCTATTTTACATGTTAAATTAGTATGTAGTAATGATTTTTAGGCACAATGATTTACTAAAATGAATAGTCTTTGAAAACATAGCTAGTTTCCATGCCTCAAGAAATCAATGCATATGCATTATGAGGAATACAAATTCAATATATTTATGTTTGCTTGAAGTCTGTTGCATTTTCTTAAGTGATGTTTTGATCTAGATGACAAGCTACAGCCTTTGAAATATTCAAAGTCTGCAAGGAAGAAACAACACTTGCTAGTGTATCTTATTAAAAATCATACTGGAAAGAAAGATTCCAAGTTCTAACAGCTGCATTTTGATTCAGTTGAGGACACATTCTCCTTGGTGTTTGGCCTGCTCTGTAAAATCCTGTTGTGATGGGTGATTGATGGACTTTCATGTGGCTGACAGTCATACTGCAAGGTGTCACCTTTGTTTCAGTGCCTTGCTTTGTAGGGTAAGTGTAAGCCCTCAGAGAATTACTGAAGCTTTAATGCTTCGTATTGAATATCTCCTACAAGAAAGTTTGGGTTTTGATGAGGTCTAATTGCTGGAGGTATGATTTTTACAGTTCACGAGTCCTTGTTAAATGAGTGTTTATTAGGCTCTGGAGAACTTTGTTTTGTGGAGTACTGTACATAAACTTCAGTGTAGGCTTTTTTAGTCCTGTTGTGGTTTGTGTTTGTTTACTGAACATACTAAAGAATTAAAATTAAATACTGCAGTTTGCCCGTTGAAATGTTTTACAGATTTATGGCTTGAGCACTGAAGACAATTCATAATGATTTGGTTTTGTAAATTCACAGTTGTTTTGGTTCTGATGGTTGAAGCATGTTCTTGATTAATCCACAATTAACTTTGACACAATGTCTGCACTTGACAGTCAGTGGCCTAAAATGACTTTACCTGTGTGGAATTAGAATGTGATCTGCCCTAGATAGAAAAATACGTTTTATTTGTTAGATTGTGAGGTTTTTTCTCTTTTGTCTCTGAAGTTATTAGGCAGGTGGAAGGGCATAAACCCCAAAGACATTAACTCATAGGTGCCTAGCAGATATTTTTAAACAAGGTTGTTAAATTAGTTTTTCAAATCTTAATCAGAAATCTTTAATAAATGTTAAGTAGCCTGCTAATTAACTCTGCCTTTTGTTTCATTTAAACTATGTGGTCTTTCTTTTACTCCTGATATAATTGTAGTAGAGTTTACTAGTTTCCTTCTCCCTTTTATATTTCTGTATTCCTTATTCATGGGATAAGGAAGCCCCAAAGTTACATTATTCATCTCTTAAACCAGAAGTTTAGAGGTTACATGTGTACTAAGTACTCCACAGCATGGAGAAGCAGGTCATTTTTTGTGGAAGATTACTGTTGAAGAGTGAAGGAATGCTGACCCATTCTAGCAGTTATGGTGTGGAACAATGTCCAGCATGTTATGATTAATATAATTCAAAAAGACATTTTCTTTTGAACGTGGCTCAAAATCATCATCAGAGGTATTTTTGGGGAATAGAAATGTAGAAATTAATATCCTTTAATGTTCAATAAGGTGTACTTAAGAGTGATGTGGTGCTACAGTGTCACTTTGTAGAGAAGGGGGTGATGACATATTTATTTTATTTGTATTAATTAGAAAGATTTAGGAGGAGACTTTTCTGTCTCCAAATATTCTAGATATGCTATTGGATAAAATGCTAAATTGTTGTTGACATTACTCTTCATAATATTTTTCCAGAATATACTAATATCTTAGTATTTGCAGTTACTGTAAAATTTAAATTGGTTTTCTGTAGCACCAGTCTTGACTTTAAAAGGGATATTTGATCTGCTTCAGTATTCTGGTATTTCTTGCTGTAAAATGTCTTCACTGCTTATTTGAAGATTGTTCTATATGTTTTGTCATTAGACTTCAATCCCAGTTACATCAATGATGGGGGTGTACAGCTTGTGTGCTTCAGCTCTTTTGTGTCACCCATTTGCCATATCCCAGAGTGTGGGGATTCATCATTCACTTCACCTATGTGGTGTAATCAACACAAGGATTTAAACTTATGGGGATTTTACCTGTTTTTGCAGTATTTTTGTAGGTCACTTAGGCTGCTGTTTTCTGCACACTGTAACTGAGGGACAGGTGAGTTTTAACGTGGCT